ATCGTATGGTTACTAGAAGAGGTCCAAAAAGCGGACGAATTGGAAGGTGGAAATAAGAGAGTTAAGGTGGATTAGCTTGTTGTGGCTTGATTTTGTAATTACTGGCCTATTTATTATTAATAAATCACTCTGCGCTAACGCAGATCCGGAAATGTCAATCGTGTTATTATGTGTTTCTATATCAGTAGAGCTTCGTCATGACGAGATTCAGTTTATATTTCGGTGGAAAATGAAATAATAAATTTTGAATTTAATGCACGGGTACACAAATAATCGTTATATATATAGCCCCTTACCGATTATCATCTTATCGCCTTTTTTTACAACGCAGGCGTATTTTTCTCGTTTCAATAAAGGCATCATCAATTTTTTGTTTACAAAATGTCTTCTTTGCTCAGTCTCGTTGCGAGGTTTTCTCGCCCTGCCGTACGTACTCTCCGACCAAGACTCTTTTCCCTAACTTCGCAACAAAGAAACAAAAAAGCTGAGCCTACGAATGAACTCCCCCCTTCGGCATCTAAGTTCAGAAAAATAGATATGGGTGCACTCAGGGTGAGCTTCAAGTCAGCTTCAGGCGAGGACGATGTAATACCCAATGTTAAAGGTATGAACTACACCCCCCTTCGGCATCTAAGTTAAGAAAAATAGATATGGGTGCACTCAGGGTGAGCTTCAAGTCAGCTTCAGGCGAGGACGATGTAATACCCAATGTGAAAGGTATGAACTACATTGTGTCGATAATTCTCTTAACGAATAATCCTTAAAATTTAAATATTGTGCCAGTCACAAACTTCCCGGACCAATATGTTCTTCCTCACATCAGTGGTGAAATACTTGGAAATCCAAAATTCGACGTTTCTAAATTTAATTGCATCTCGGATCCTCAAGTTCAAACGTTCGTTACCAAATTGCATAACGTCGTATTCAATGGTTTTCAGGTGACAGGCACGGACGAGACTTTTACTGACACACTTGTGGATGATCTACTCCGTATCGTTAAACTGAATGACTTTCCCTTGATGATCAGGTGAGTAATAATGATAAACCTTTTGTTGTCGCACTTCAATGGTTCTAAAGTTCGCTCCAGAAACCGACCGCCATGCAGTGTATATATCGAGGATAAGCCTCTCGTATCAGCCGTCCCCGAATTCGTAGTTAGGGATCAAGACTGTGCTCTTATCGGAGTAGAAGTCAGTGTGTTGCTTATTGTTTAACAAGTTTTTTTTCGTTACTCAAAAATAACTTTTTTAAGCAGGATAAGCATCTGAAAAATGTCAGGCCAGTTACCGGATTTGGGGAATCACAAATTGCTTTAGAAGTTCTCGCCTGCGGGAATGAAAATGTGCGTTTCATTCAAGAAGAGGAATATACATATAAAAAAACAGACCATATTCGCCGTTCGTGTCATTTCCACGTATGTCACCTTTTATAGAGCTGAGATTCCTGCAGTGTATTGGTTAGAGCTTGAAGAAGGTCTACCGACAAAACAATCAGTTGAGATCCGAAGATGGCCGCCTCAGAATGGTTTGAAGACTGGTTTCGATTTAGCTGAACCCGATGGAAGACAGACAGTGCTGACATCATTAATTAAACTCCGTCAATTTCTCTTGGGAAACCATGAAAAATAAACTTTGACATGTTGTTTTCTGATATCCATATATAAATATAATCTCATTTTATTCGATGAGACCGAAGATGTTCTGGAATAACTATATATGGATCTTCATAATACCAAACATATCTGAGGACAATCCATCAGTTGCAAGGCAAAGACCACCTTTTTCCTCTGCGAGTTTCTTCATATCTTGGATGGTTCGGATTCGACGATTTCCAGCACACCATGTGGCGTGACCTCTTACACTATATAAGCTTGCTTGCCATTCATGACCCTTAGCACATTTCCAAAGCATCGGAGTCTTACCATTTATGTAATGATCAGAATGGCATTCACCCCCTCTTCTCTGCGCAATCTCTTTTGCAATGTCTAATGATAATTTGGATGGCATTTCTACATAAATATACGGAACTTAAATGGGGCAGTGGATTCCCTCCCATGCAGTTGTGCTAGGTTCAAGCAATTTTTTATCTTGTATTAGCGAGATATAGATATTTTTTCTCTTACATAGCTTATACGTATATATTCTCAGTACCTAGCTCCGTTATAAGCCAGTGTATTAATGCCAACTCTTCGCCCATATCGCCAGAAGATAAGGAGGTTGACGAATTCGTGGATTCAAAATATAAGGAAAAGAGATAAGAGAGAGGAATCGGGAAAAAAAGCTCCTTATATCCGATGATGTACCGATAAACTCAGGTCAATCGCACAAGAAGAAAACAATGCAAGATATTGTACAAGATGTATTTGATTTTACCATCACTTCACCTAAAAATCATTTGATAGAAATTTCGCTTCCGGCCCGGAAGGAAAAATGCCAAGAAATATCTAATGTATTGCAAACCATAGCTTGCTTATATGAAATTCTATTATCAGGTTAAAGAGATTATGAGAACGGATCAAATTAGTGAGAAAAAAGCAAAGGGAATAATTTATAATTTTATTATTAAGCAAATTCCTGGTACCAAACGAGAAAATTT